TCGGCCGACATGATTGTAGGGTTAGAAGTTAAAGTGGCCCCCAACCTTAACGGTGAAGTAAAGAAAGTCCAGAAATTCTTTCCTGGCTCTTCCTCCGGAAGGGATGAAGGTGATGTAACCCTTGAGGAGGTAGATTTTAATGAATTAATGGAATTACCTTTCGGCTACTTCCCAGTTTGTGTAAAAAATACTTTCTCTAAATGTTCTGTACTATGCCGAAGGACTAAGGGTCAAGCTAGATACCACGAGAATATTTGGCAAACGAAAATTAAGAAAAATCCTACAAGTGGTATCGGCTTTGGAAACGTTAGTTCATTTGATGACGATGAGTATTGCCTAATGATAACTTACCATCTTGAATCTCCAAATGTCCCTATAGATCCCTTCTGTCCCCTGGACGGGCTCTGTTTGGAGACTTTAGATGACCCCGATGACCTTCAAGTTCGGGATGCACCCCCTGAATTCGAAGAGGAAATTAAATCAACAGTCGATGAGTTAAGAGAAATTAACCTGGGAACCGATGATGACCCCCGCCCAATTTTCATAAGTACTCTACTAGGCGAGAGTGAAACCCAAGACTTAATTCAATTGTTGTCTGAGTTCAGGGATTGCTTTGCCTGGATATACGATGAAATGCCAGGTTTTTCCACTGAGGTAGCGGTCCACAAACTTGAAGTTCGGCATGATGCTATTCCTGTTAAACAAGCTCCTCGACGCATGCGCTTAGAGATCGAGCAATAAGTAGTTTCCAAAATTAAGAAGTTGGCCGAAGTCGGATTTATTCGAGAGGAACAATACCCTTCTTGGGTGGCCAGTGTCGTGCCGGTTCAAAAGAAGAATGGTCAAATTCGGATTTGCATCGACTATAGGGATCTGAATAAGGCATGTCCCAAGGATGAATTTCCTTTGCCTATTCCTGAACTTATGGTAGACATTGCCTCTTTGCATGCTATTTTCTCCTTTATGGATGGCTCATCCGGTTATAACCAAATCAAGATGGCCCCGGAAGATGAGAGAAACACTGTATTTAGAACTCCTATAGGAATCTTTTGTTATAAGGTGATGCCATTTGGCCTAAAGAACGCTGGGGCAACCTACCAGCGGGCTATGACTCACATCTTTGACGACTTAATCCATAATCAAGTCGAGTGCTACATCGATGATTTAGTTGTCAAGAGTAAGGTCAAAGAGGCTCACCTATTTGACTTAAGAATTATTTTTGAACGGTTGTGATGCTACGATTTGAAAATGAATCCCTTGAAGTGCGCCTTTGGTGTCACTTCAGGGAAATTCTTAGGATTCGTGGTGAGGCACCGAGGAATTGAGATCGACCCTGCTAAAATTGAAGCCATATTAGATATGTCATCTTCTAAGAGTCTTACTCAGTTAAGGTCTCTACATGGTAGATTGGCATATATAAGGAGGTTTATTTCTAACCTTTCCGGGAGATGTCAACCCTTCTCTGTTCTTGCAAAGAAAGATACTAAATTCGTATGGGACGAGAAGTGCCAGAATGCTTTTGATGATATTAAACAATACCTTTCCAACCCGCCAGTTCTGGCAGCCCTAATTTCGGGGAAACCATTAATCCTTTACACTGCGGCTTTAGACGAGTCTTTAGGCTCCTTGCTAGCTCAAGTCAACGACGAAGGGAAAGAGAATGCCCTC